GTACAAACGCTTATAGATAATTAACACATCACCTTAGGGTTAACAGCCTTATAATCTAAACTTAATATATATAAACAAACGAAAGACCTGAGACAACTAATAGCAACATAAGTAGCAATACAATCTTTCACATCAACGAAACAAAATAATCATAACGAATTCGTGGAAAAACCGCTCGAACAAAAATCAAAAAAAAAGTATGTATAAAAAAAAATCACACTTCAAGCCCCAAACCTCAAAAAACAATCGAAACAAACCAACCAAAAAACACCATTATTGCATATTCACAAGCAAATATAATAGCAAAAGATAAACCATAATAATCAGTTTTAAAGCCACTAACTAAATCACTCTCAGACTCAGAAAAATCAAAAGGTGAACGTTGACACTCACATAAAATAGAAACTAACACAATTGGATAAGCTAATAATCCACCTAGTATTATAAAACCAAATTCCAACTTATAAATACTTATACCATATTTACCAACCAATAACCCAATCAACAAAATTAAACACATCAAGACACCCTCAAAGGTTACCCTACTAAAGGCAGCACGAACCGCACCAAATAAAGAATACTTTGTGTTACTACCCCAGCCACACAATAAAAATCCATACCCACATAATCTAGAAAATACAATTAACCAACCAAATGATAAACAGCTTTTTAAAAAAAGAAGTTTATAATTTTAAAAAAAACTAACAAAAACAAAACATGATAAAACAAACACAAACAAGCTTAAATTATAAACAAGACCACGATAACGTAATCTATTATAATAATTTTTCAAAAGTCCTGTCTTACCGAATAACTTTAAAAAATCGGCTTGCCTTTGTAAAACCCTCATTAGTGTAACCTTTTTTGGCCCAACACGTGATTGAAAATACCCTAAAACCTTTTGCTCCATTAAAACAAAAAAAAACTAGCAAAAAAAAACAAACCAGAAATGACTAACAACAACCACCAGAAATGACTAACAACAACCACCACACACACCAATATTAAAAAATAATTCCATTGAATCGACAAATCAATATTCAACAATAAACTAGGTGTGTAACAACAAGAGCCCTCCACCCCTAATACGCAAAATTAAAATTCTATACTTAAACTATGTTGTTTTTTAACAATAAGAAGCACCTTCTATCCTTTATGTGTAAAATAAACATTTTAATTAAACTACCTTGTCAAAATCTATACCAAACGACTGGAAACACTTTCAACATAAAAACCAATTCCCCCAAAAAAACTATTACCCATAACCAAGTACAAGTACATTTGTTCAACAATAGAATAAACCCACCATGATAAAAAAACCCACCAACCATAATAAAGATTAGAAAACACAAATACTCTCCAAACCTTATAAATTATTGAATAACTTCAGGGTAGAGGCATTAACAAAAATATCAACAACCTTTGTTGATTTTTAGTTGTGTGGTGGGTTTTTTTACTACGCAAAAATACAAAAAAATAAACCAGCATAAACAAAAATATTCACCCCAAAAATACATACATGATAAAACTAAAACCACCACCCATACAACCAAATAAAAATATTAAACTGGATGATCTCAAACTAGACCTAATTATTAACACAATTCACCTTGTGTGCCCACAAACCAGGTTTATTGTAGAATAAAATAGTGTACTTAAAAACAAAAAAAATGACCCCACCAATTTGAGCATATCAATCTCTTAAAAAACATAAAAAACAACGGAATCTTATAAACAGTGGATAACACCACTATTGGAACATAACCACTTACCCTATAAACATCAACAACCCACCCACAAAATGGATAGATCGCCAACTTCATCATAACCCCAAACATGGTAAAACCGATGGAGTCACACATTCATCCGGAAAACACAAATAAACCCGATATTGCAGTGATAACAAAAAACATAGTATCCCCCTTGTATACTTTGTTGGTGGTAGGTTTTTCTGACCACAAAAAAAAGGACACTATAAATATTATTGACATACTTTCCATCAAAACAGTTAATACTACCAGACTACTAGAAAACAATCCAACTAATCCACATAGCACCCCACAACCTAAAATAGCCCTATAATAAAAAACAATCATCTACTGACTAAAAAACTTTACAGACAAAACGTGATACATATCACTTATTAGAGATAACAACATCACATGGGAAACATGCGTCAATAAAAAACACATAAACACCTCATATAAAAAATAAAAAACTGAAAAACAAAAAATAAAAATTGTAGTTAGTGAAACATGTAGAACCAATAAGCTTTCAACAAACTTACTAGCAAGCGTCAGTGTCACCAAATAAGCAAAAGACAATTTTACCAATAATCGTAATATTAATGTTACTGGTCGTATCATTTGACTACTACACTCCCCTATAAATATAAAAGGCATAATAATAAAA